TGAGGGAACATGCTGCTAGCTTGTAGCTCTGGCCGAGCCCTGAACACAGACAGAGTCCCTCAAGGGGGACCTCTGTCTGGACGCTGGTGCCCCCCCAAACCAGAGAGGGCTGGTTCTGAAATCACTGGGAGAGATCTAGTGGGAGCTGGGGCCACTGCAGAGTGAAAGATCTAACCATTGTATGACCCAACGGACATCCACAGAATGGGAGACAAAAGCTATGCCATTTTTGTGTTTTACAAAAGCATTTTTAAAGATTATAATACCCACTCACTATAACAATTTAAGCAAATTGAATGACAAAGATTTTTTTTTAATTCCTTTCTTCCTCCTCTGCCCAATCCCACCCTCTTAAAGTAACTGATGTTAGCATATCAGTATAGATCCGTCCATGCTTCCATGCTTATACAGAGTTGCCTATTTAGAGTCTCACTTTTGCTTTTTACAAAAACATGATCATGCTCTTCATATTATTCTACCACTTGCTTATTTGCACTTAACAATATGTCTTCTACACCTTTCCAAGTTAATATGGATAAATCTGTCATTCATTTTATTTGATGATTGCATAATATTCCATAGAATGGATATACCATAATTTATGAAATCAGCCCAACATGAACCATGGGTTTGGGTTCTATCTTATCAGCTTTGTTTGCTAATGGTTAAGTCGGGGCTAGTCTTGCTTAGTTGTAATCTCTTAAATAACGAAGACCATGTCTGAAATACAAATTTCCTTCCTAGAACCTAACACATCACTGCCTACACACATCACACATTTGACATGACATGAATACTCTTTTAATTTTGGAAATGCTCATAATGTCTTCTTTCCATTTGCTAAAAGGAAGACAGTTCTTAGGATGAGAGGCTCATATTTGGCACATTTACTGAGCAGGAGGAGATAATTTTTAATTTCCTAATCCCATATGGTCCAATTTTTCTCCATATGCCAATCTCCCTCCCAACACGTGCCTCAGATTTTCCCATGAAAATACTGTTGTGTCACTACAGAAATCATTTCAATTCAATCCCTCGCATCATAAAATAATTCAAGTTTTGGAGCAAGGCTGCCTAATAGAACGCCCTGGTTTTAAAAGATGTACCGAGTGAGGCTCGAAGGGATCGGTAACTTGCAGCTGGGCTAGGACCACCCCCAGAGCCCCCTCCATTGCAGGACACAGCCCCCCAGGGCTTGGGGGTTGAGGGGCTCAGCACACAGACAACTGTATTTTTATTGGAGGAGGATTTAAAAGTAGACTATTAATGCTTTTCAAAGACTGAAACAGGTAAATGACTAGTGCCACTTACTAGCCATCCCTCTGAAGAGGGAACTCTTTCCATCAGACACTGAGTCTATAGCTTGTTTTCCCCAGGGCTGCTCTGGTCCCAGCTTGCAGTTTTCTCCTCATCCAGCAGTGATTCGGGTGGTGAATGCACTTCTTTCCTCACATTCCCGCATGATGCCTGGCATTCCAGCGTGCCCTGACCTGGAGTTGGAGCTGTTTACTATCTGGTTACATAAAGGTGAAATCCGCCAGGCATGGACAAAGAGACCCTGGTCAGGAATGCATCCAGCTTATAAAATTTTTGAGATAGTTTTTAATGGGAAACAGTACCAAAAAAATCTTATTTTTGCTACTTATACAAAAACGTATGAACACATCATCACTAGGCCCCCTCCTAGTGCCTTAGAAAAGGCCAGGCGCTGCCAAGTGAAGGGTGCTGAAGATTAATTTCCTTTAGTTTCAGGGTAAGATTGCCCCTGGGCCTTACATAGAGTAAAGTAGGGCATAGCTGGGGCATGCTTTCTGATCCCCCACATATATCTGGACAAAGCTGCTCAGACCCTCTTGGGAGGCAGTAACACAGTAACCAGAAGCCCCCAGAGTAATCAAGTCAGTTCCTATTTCAAATATTTTATCAGACCATATGTCAAATGATGCCTCTTGACTTTTCAAAGAAATATAGGCAATAATGTTATAAAATGGAAGTTCAAAAGACAAAGAAAACAAAGCAAACAAAACAAAACAAACAACAAAAAAACCAACCCTTTTCCCTCTCCCCACCAAGTGAGTATAAATGGAGACAGAACTAGCAATTGTTTCCTATGGATGTTTTGTTTCCTGTCTCAGAATGGAAAAAACAAACACGGGAAGTCCAAGAACAGAACAGAGCCTCTGTAGACACTGAAATTTCTGCCTGCTAGGAAAATAGCAGGAATCTTTAAAAAGAAATCATCTTCCTTTATTAGGTAGCAATAATTATGTTGCCAAGAAAATCCTGCCTCCTTAGACTTACCTTGGATAAGAAGCAAAATGTAGCCAGAAAGGACAAGTTGAGTTCAAAAGACTAGAGAACCTTCTTGTCCCTGTCCTCAGCTTTCCTTTCTGTGGTAACCAGACCCAAGATTTCAGAGCAAAACCCTGAGGCAGACACGCTGTATAGGTCTCCCGTACCCAAAGACTCAGGCCCATTATTCCACGGACTTCTAAGGGGCTGTCAGAGAACAGATGTGCAGTGAGAAGCTATTCTCCAAGCATTTAGGAATCAACCATGAGGGTCAGGGAAGAGGAGCTCATTTTACTTTCCAGGAAACACCCTCTTGCTGAAAGGCAGGTGATACATATGTAGCACTTCCAGAGTTAGCCCAGCACAGCGGCCCCTTCGTTATAGTAATAGCGATAACAGTCATAGCTACTGTTTATGGAGACTTACTATGTGCTATAAATGTATCATCTTGTGTCATCCTCATAACAACCCTATCAATATTCATTCCTCTTTTACCTACAAGAAAACGGATTTAGAGATACTAAGAAACATACCTAGGGGCGCCTGAGTAGCTCAGGTGTTTTGCGTCTGCCTTCAGCTCAGGTCATGATCCCAGGGTCCCGGGATCAAGCCGCGCATCGGGCTCCCTGCTCTGCCGGAAGCCTGCTTCTTCCTCTCCCACTCCCCCTGCTTGTGTTCCTGCTCTTGCTATCTCTCTCTGTCAAATAAATAAATAAATAAAATCTTAAAATATATATATACCTAATATCATACAGCTAGTAAGTGCTAAATAAAGCTGGTACTCAAACTAGTTCTATCAGATTGCAAAAGCCATTCATTTAACCACTGCGCTTTCCTATCTCCTTTAATGGACATTTGATGGATTTCTGAGTGATTGACTAGAAAAACAGAAAGACAGAAGGGGAGAAAGGGAGGAAGGGAGAGAAAGAAAGGAAGAAAGAGAGAGAGAGGGAGGGAAGGAGGAAGAGAAAGGAAGGAAGGGAGGGAGGGAGGAGAAGAGAGAGAGATGGAGGAAAGAGAAAGAAAGAAGAAAGAAGAAAGAAAGAAAGAGAAAGAAAGAAAGAAAGAAAGAAAGAAAGAAAGAAAGAAAGAAAGAAAGAGAAAGAAAAAGAGAGGGAGGGAGGAGGGAGGGAGGGAGGGCGGGAGAAAGGAAGAAGGAAAGATCCAGCTAAACATATCCACAAAGATTCGCCAGTCCCTGCTCAGTGGTGGGGTCAACAGAAACTGCTATGGGGCAAGCTCCATTCCCTCACCAGTTCCAGCATCAGAATGACCTGCACACTCTGGAGGACAGTCTGGAGGTTCCTCAGAAAGTTAAAAATAGAGCAACCCTATGACCCAGCAATTGTACTACTAGGCATTTATCCAAAGGATAAAAAAATACAGATTCAAAGGGGGTACATGCACCCCAATGCTTACAGCAGCAGTATTAGCAATACCCAAACTATGGAAAGAGCCCAAGTGTCCTTCGACTGATGAATGGATAAAGATGTGGTATATATACCATGGAATATTACTCAGCCATCAAAAATAATTGAAATCTTGCCCTTTGCAACGACACTGATGGAGCTAAGGAGTATTATGCTAAGTGAAATAGGTCAGTCAGAGAAAGATAAATACCATATGATCTCACTCATATGTGGAATTTAAGAAATAAAACAGATGAGCATAGGGGAGGGGGAGGGAGAGGGGAGAGAGGAAAATAAACGACAAGAGACTCTTAACAATAGAGAATAAACTGAGGGTTGATGGAGGGAGATGGGTTGGGGATAGGCTAAATGGGTGAAGGGTATTAAGGAGGGCACCTGTGAGCCCTGGGTGTTGTATGTAAGTGATGAATCACTGAATTCTACTCCAGAAACCAATATGCACTGTATGTTAATTGAGTGAAATTTAAATAGATGATAGATAGACGGTAGATAGATAGATGAAAGAAAGAAAGAAGGAAGGAAGGAAGGAAGGAAGGAAGGAAGGAAGGAGAAAGAAAGAAAGAAAGAAAGAAAGAAAGAAAGAAAGAAAGAAAGAAAGGAAGGAAGGAAGGAAGGAAGGAAGGAAGGAGAAAGAAAGAAAGAAAGAAAGAAAGAAAGAAAGAAAGAAAGAAAGAAAGAAAGAAAGAAAGGAAGGAAGGAAGGAAGGAAGGAAGGAAGAGAGAGAGAGAAAGAAAGAAAGAAAGAAAGAAAGAAAGAAAGAAAGAAAGAAAGAAAGAAAGAAAGAAAGAAAGAAAGAAGGAAGGAAGAAGGAAGAAAGAAAGAAAGAAAGAAAGAAAGAAAGAAAAGAAAGAAAGAAAGAAAGAAAGGAAGGAAGGAAGGAAGGAAGGAAGGAAGGAAGAAAGAGAGAGAAAGAAAGAAAGAAAGAAAGAAAGAAAGAAAGAAAGAAGGAAGGAAGGAAGGAAGGAAGAAGGAAGAAAGAAAGAAAGAAAGAAAGAGAAAGAAAGAAAGAAAGAAAGAAAGAAAGAAAGAAAGAAAGAAAGAAAAGAAAGAAAGAAAGAAAGAAAGAAAGAAGGAAGGAAGGAAGGAAGGAAGAAAGAAGGAAGGAAGAAGGAAGGAAGAAAGAAAGAAGGAAGAAAGAAAGAAAGAAAAAGAAAGAAAGAAATCTTTCTGGGATGGGCTGCGCTGGGCCCATTCCAAACCTACGGAGTCAGAGTCTCTGGGGATGGGGCCTAGGAATCCTCATGTTCCATGCCTCCCCCATCTGCCCCCCACCCCCAGGCAATTCTGCTGTGTTGCTGCTTGTGGGATGTCTGCAAACACGCTGGTGGACAGCCATGCCTCCTGGCTCACCTGGAAGACTCACTTGTCCTGGTGTAAGTAGCAATAGATTTTTACTACTCATCTCGGGCCATTTGGTTACCAGTTCCTGTTGGAAAGGCAAGTTAAATTTATTTCTTTTCCTCTACCATTTTCCAAATAAGGAGCTAGTTTAACAGTCATTGGGCCCAAATTCTGGAGTCCTTTTAGCAATATCTGTGTCTGTGCACAAACAGGATTGGCAACCAGAAATAACCCACCAGAAAGAGTAGCCACGATAAGTGTTGACCTAAGCTAACTATAATTTTCACATCTGACCCTCAAGCCACAATCCTGTACTGCATTTCTTTGAGCTCAGGAAGTTCTTAAATAGCACTTAGTTTATGATAAAACACACTCTGTTGCCTCTCAGAAATGAGCTTTCATTAAGCAGAGGCAGAACTGTTCTAGTTAATGGGCTTTCAACAAACATGAACACTGTACCAAGCTATGGGACAATGATTCTTTGTGTTGGGAGTTTGACATGGGTTACATCATCACACACTGTGGCATGTTCAACAATCTCTCTCATTGTATATGCCCTTCTTCCTTCTTACATTGTGACTCTGACACTCCTGCCAGTGAGAGGTGGGGTCTGTTTCCTTCCCTTGAATCTGGGCAGGCTTGTGGCATAGCAGAAGTGACACTATGTAAGGATATACCACCTTTATTTATTAATTTGCTTGGTGATGGACATTTGGTTGTTTCCAGTTTTGTGCTATTACAAATAAAGCTGCTATGAACATTTGTGTACAGTTCATTGTGTGGACATGTACTTTCTTTGCTCTAGGAGTAAATGGCTGGATCATATGGCAGGTGTATTGTTAAACGTTAGGAAACTGCCAAATAGTTTTTGCAAAGTGTTGGACCATTTTCCATTCCTGCTAGAAGTGTATGAGAGTTCCAGTTCCTCCACTTCCTCACCAACATTGCATATGGTCAGTCTTCTTAAGTTAGCCATTCTAATCGGTATGGAGTGGTATCTCACTGGGGTTTTAATTTCCATTTCCCTAATGACTAATGATGTCAAGCATCTATGCATGTGCTTGTTGATCATTCATGTATCTTCTTTGGTGAAATGTCTATTCTAACATTTTTGATGTCTTAATAGGGTTGTTTTCTTTCTTTTTTAAAAAATTAATTTTAGGGGCGCCTGGGTGGCTCAGTTGGTTAAGCGACTGCCTTTGGCTCAGGCCATGATCCTGGAGTCCCTGGATCAAGTCCCGCATCGGGCTCCCTGCTCGGCAGGGAGTCTGCTTCTCCCTCTAACCCTCCTCCCTCTCATGCTCTCTGTCTCTCATTCTCCCTCTCTCAAATAAATAAATAAAATCTTTTAAAAAAATTAATTTTATTTATTTTTTTAAAGATTTTAGGGTGCCTGGGTGGCTCAGTTGGTTAAGCGACTGCCTTCAGCTCAGGTCATGATCCTGGAGTCCCTGGATCGAGTCCCGCATCGGGCTCCCTGCTCGGCAGGGAGTCTGCTTCATCCTCTGACCCTATCCCCTCTCATGTGTTCTCTCTCTCTCTCAAATAAATAAAGATTTTACTTATTTATTTATTTGTCAGAGAGAGAGCACAAGCAGGGGGAGGGGCAAAGGGAGAGGGAGAAGCAGGCCCCCTGCTAAGCAAGGACTTAATCCCAGGACCCTGGGATCATGACTTGAGCCGAAGGCTGACACTTAACCAACTAGCCACACAAACCCACTGAGCCACACAGGTGTCCCTTTTTATTTATTTTTGAGAGAGAGAGAGTGTGCATACGTGTACACGAGCAGGGGCTGGGAAGGGGAGAGGGAGAGAGAATCTTAAGCAGGCTCCATGCCCAGTGTGGAGCCCTCCACAGGACTCGATTGTCATGACCCTGAAATCATGACCTTAGCCAAAATCGACTCTTAACTGGCTGAGCCACCCAGGTGCCCCAGTGTTGTTTTCTTATATTGAGTTTTGAAGGTTGTTTATATTTTCTAGATACAAGTCCTTTATCAATATGTACATTGCAAATATCTTCCCCTAGCCCATGGCTTGTCTTTTCATTCTTTCTAAGAGCAGAAGCTTTTAATTTTGATGAAGTCCAATTTATGAGTTTGTTCTTTTATAGATCATGCTTTTAGTGTCATAACTAAGAAATCTTTACCTAAACCAAGGTCACAAAGATTTTTCTCCTATCTTTTGTCTACAAGTTTTATAGTTTTAGCTTACATTTAGGTCTATGACCCATCTTGAATTAATTTTTGTATGTGGTACAGAATATGAATTGGAATTCTTTTTGTTATTTTTTGCTTTTGTAAATCCAATTGTTCCAACAACATTTGTTGAAAAGACTATCCTTTCACCACTGAATTATCTTTTCATCTTTGTAAAATAGTCATCAATGTATGTGTAGATCTCTTTCCACACTCTTTATTCTGTTCTACTGATTTAGTTCTATTTTGTGCCACCACCCACTGTGTTGATAAGTTTGAAACTAGATAGTTTTAGTTCTCCAATTTTGTTCTTTTTCAAAGTTGTTTTGACATTCTGGGTCCTTTGCATTTCATATAAATTTTTAGAATCAGGTTATAAATTTTAATTGAAAAAAAAAAAAGCCTGCTGGGATTTTGAAAGAGATTGCCTTAAATTTATAGATCAATTGGTGAGAACTGACATTTTAACTATACTGAGTCTTCTGACCCATAAAAAAGATAGACTTCTCAATTTATTTAGGTCTTCTCTCATCAATGCCTTATAGTTTTCAGTGCACAGGTCTTAACACATCTTTTGTCAGGTTTATTCCCTAAATAGTTCATATTTTTTATGCTACTTTAAGTGGTCTTAAATTTTTTTCAATTTCTGATTATTTGTTGCTAATATTCAAATAGTAGAACTAAATTTTGAGTTCTACTTTTTAATTTCTTGTTTTTTTATAGTTCTCTGTTTTTTTGTTATTAAAAGCATTCCATGGGATCAGCTCAAGTCATGATCCCAGGGTCCTGAGATCGAGTCCCGCAATGGGCTCCTTGCTCAGTGGGGAGCCTGCTTCTCCCTCTCTCTGCCTGCTGCTCCCCCTGCTTGTGCTCTCTCTCCCTCTCTCTGACAAATGAAATCTTTAAAATAAATAAAAGCACCCCATAATTGCTTCACTTATGCAAAATCTTCTCATCTAAGAATGTAAGTTTTTGTGTTATAATTTTCTTCTGCTCCCTGAATAGTTTGTTTTCTCTAGGTTTCTTTGCTATTGTTTGGGTCTTCATCTCTCATGTTAAAGGATTGATTTTTTTTTTTTTTTTTGGCAGTCCATTCATATTCAAGAGGAAGACACTAAAAAGCCAATTAGAAGTTCTATATGCATGGGCAAGGATGGTTCACCGCTAGCCATATCTGTAGAGTAACTTCCCACTCCAAAAAAAACCCCTAAAATGTCAGAATCTGTGATATTTTTGCCTTTGGCTAGACAGGTTCTCCAGAAAAGAATCCTCCAAAAAAGCAAATAAAAAAATGTATATTATGTACTCTGATGAAATATATCAATACTTTCAGAAGATAATGAGATAAAACAAAGCTATGTGAAAAATGCTTCAATTTCCAAAATATTAAAAATTTGTGAATCCTACGCTTACCATTCCTCCACATTCATTATGCTTGATTCACTCTGATTTGCTGATGACTTTCCAAATATAGCATTCAGAACTAACCTAATATTCCAGAAATAGTCTGGCCAACCTACAAAACAGTGACCTGATCTGAAAAATGTTCTTTCTCCTGATTTTGTTAGTGCTGTTTTAGCCTCATCACAGTGTGGTTTCATGCAGGCATAGCTCCTTTATCGCACTTCCCTTGAAATGCACTGCATTTCTTACTAATTGAAGTTTTGGGGCAACCTTGCATCAAGCAAGTCTATCAGCACCATTTTTCCAACAGTATTTGCTCACTTCATGTCTCTGTCACGTTTTGGCAATTCTTGCAATATTTCAAACATTTTCATTATTATATTTGAATTGCTGCAATCTCATGATACAACTTTAATGGATGAGATGTTGCTTCTTATGGATGAGCAAAGAAAGTGGTTTCTTGAGATGGAAATTACTCCTGGTGAAGATGCTGTGAAGATCGTTGAAGTGACAACAAAGGATTTGGAATATTGTATAAACTTAATTGATAAAGCAGTAGCAGGGTTTGAGAGGATGGACTCCAATTTTGAAAGAAGTTTTATGGGTAAAATACTGTCAACATCACATGCTACAGAGAAATTGTTCATGAAAGGAAGAGTCAATCAATGGGGCAAATTTCATTGTCTTATTTTATGAAATTGCCACCACCAGCCACCCCGACTTGAGCAACCACCACCCCATTCGGTCAGCGGCCATCATCATCAAGGCAAGACCCTCCACTAGCAAAAAGATTACCTGAAAGCTCAAATGATGGTATTTTTTGCAATGAAGTATTCTTAAAGTATGAACATTGTTTAGACATAATACTATTGTACACTTAATAGACTCCAGCATAGTGTAAACATAACTTTTATATGCACTATGAAACCAAAAACTTCATTCGACTTGCTTTATTGTGATATTCTTTACTGTGGTGGTCTGAAACCCAACTGGCAATACCTCTGAGGTATACCTGTATTTAGACTGTGGTCAGTAAAAAGCCCCCCAGCCGTCCAACCATTGGAAAGCGAATGCAACTCTATTAGTTTTCTATTCTTGTCATAACAAATTGCCACAAACTTAATGGCTTAAACAACACAAATTTATTATCATACAGTTCAATAGATCAGAAATCTGATACTGGTCTCACTTGGCTAAAATCAAGGTGTCAGCAAGACTGTGTTCCTGTCTGGAGGTTCTAGGGGAGAATCTCTTTCTTTGCTCATTCAGGTTGTTGGCATAATTCAGTTCATTGCAGTTGTGGCACTGAGACCCCCATTTGCTTGCTGACTCTCAACTGAAGGACTGTTCCCATCTTTAGAGACTACCCACATTTCTTGACTTGTGGTCTCCATTCTCCATCTTAAAAACCATCAATAGCAGGTCGAGTTCTTCTCATCCAAATCTCTCCTCCTTCTCCTATCCCCTCCCTCAATGCAGATGGAAAGTTCTCAATTTCAAAGACTCTTGTGATTAGATTGGCCTCACCTGGATAATCCAGGATACTTTCCCCAACTAAAGGTCAGTAAATTTACTCACATCAGCAAAGTCCCTTTTGCCATGAAGTTACATATTTACAGGTTTGGGGGATTAGGACTTAGACATCTTGGTGAGCAGTTAAGTGTGTGTGCTTTGGAATCCTCAGGGGTTTGAATCTGAGCACCTAATGGCTGAGCAATCTTGGACAAGTTACTTTAAATCTCTCCTTTATAATAATGGCATCTTCCCCAACTGACTCTCATAAGAACTACAGAACACATACACTTAGCAGGTGCCTAACATACATAAACGCTCAGTAACTGTTAGCTATTATTATTAAACTTAAATGAGGAACCTTTTCTTATCTCAATTAAATTCCATCAAATTGTTTCCAACCCAGGGCCACAGCCAGTCAAGATAGTTTTTAATCTCAATTCTGTGGTCTGCAATATTTTAACTTCCTTTTAGATTTGTGTTATCTTCCCCTGGATTAGCACGCTTGCTGCTTCATCCTGGTCACAAAGTTAAGGAAGGTCAAGCTGTAGCTTTCACACAAATGGAGACAGCTCTTATCTTTGAGAACAATCATGTGAGAGACCCTGACTCTCTGGGTCAGGGGCTAAGAAGGGGAAAGGAAATACAAAGGCTCCCGCCCTGAACGCATTCCTGGTCTAATTAGTAGCCCCTTTCAAAATAAGAAAAAAAAAAATAGGGTCACTGCAGATGGCACCCAAGGCCCACTCTAAGACAATTTAGTTTTAAGTGGATAAAGGAGATAAGGAGATATTAACATCTTCACTTTATAGATTAATAAACAACTGAGGCTCAGGCCATTTTAAATGACTTTTTTGGGCTCAAATAGCTGATAGCAGAGGGAGGCCATGAACCCAGGATTTCTGACTCCAAATCCTACATTCCTTCCCTCTCTACACTCTTCCTTCTAATGGTTTGGAAACCAAAATGAAAAACATCTTCCTATGAACTGGAGCAGGTATACCACCGGCATATAGTTCTGCTTGCCACACCTTGGAACCTGAAAAGCCCCAGAAAGGGGACAACTAAATGATGGAAGAAATCCTGGGCCTTTGATGAAAGAAGAGCTACTTCATTAGAATAGAAAAAAAAAAGAGAGAGAGAGAAATTGGAACTCTTCAGCTTAGAAATGTTACAGCTAAGGGAAAAAAAAACCAACCAATCCAGACTGACAGAACAAAGACTGATGGGCACTATTTCTGTAATCTAGTTGGCACCTTTCAAACTCCTGGTAAAGTACTTCTTCACAGAGCAGAAATGTATCCAACTCTCTACTTCCATGAAGTACTGCTAGCCAGAAAAATCAGTCTTCATAACAGTGAGTTCCTGGAAAAAATTTATAAATTGATCATTAGGAATTAAATTGTGTTTTCCCATTATTTCCCATTTCCCAGTAGCATGATCAAGCATCTTGACCAAGGCAGTATTATGTCAAATAAATCACAGATATGGCCAACATAGATGAAAGCCCAATATTATGACTTCAAAATTCCATATTCATAAAAAAGGGTCAATATGTACCACATCCTGGCTGTGTGAGATCTCAATTTACTATAACGTGTGTATATAAATATACACAATTCATATATATTCAATACTAAAAGTGAAATTCTATCACATAAACTTCTCTTAAACTATTTAATTTTGCCTGCCTTTAGAATTTAGGAGGGCTTTTATGGAGATCATATGAGTAAGTCAAGTCTTCAAGAAAACAAACAAAAACTGTCCAGATAGGTTGTAATAATTCAAACCACCAACTAGTTGGATTTACTATTATCTGAGATATACTACATTTTAATCTATAAAATCCATTTTTATTGTTGAAAAAGTCTCAAAGGAGCAGCTGACCATGAATCTGAAATGACAATGATTGGGTTGTGACAGCCTATATTTCCCTCCCAAGTGTCAACCCCATGGCAGTGCCGAGGCCCTCTCCAATGGAATTGCCCCCTATCTGTCCTGAAGATTTATACTACCACCAGAAGCTCGTTTATATATATTATTTCATTGTGAGGGATAGGACAGATATTACTGTTCTCATTTTACACAAAAAGATCTAAGGTTTAAGGTACCTTAAATGACTTTGCTCAAGGTCACACAGCTCATTAGTAGAACAGCTGGGACAAGAAGTCAGGTCTCACAAGTCCCGATACACAGTGCTACCTCAAAGTTATTAGGAGTTATTTTTGACTCATCCAAAACAACCAGAATGTAGTTAAAAGAGTTCTGTTTCTGTCCCTTCTCAATCTCAACACATTATCTTGAAATATGTATAAATTGTGCCTTAACTGAAAAATACCACTCTTTGCTGCAGTATATCCAGTCACCTGTCTGCTAGGACAAAAAGACATTTCTTCTAAGAATCTTGGGGAGTTGGCAAGATGTATACGTGATCAAAGCGGGACTTCTGGTTAATACAGTAGGACTACAGTCCAGACAGAATATAAAGCTAGGTCTTTCCAGTACGGTATCTCCCACTTAATGGAGCTGTTTTTAAAATGCCTATGATCATTCCCTCTCATTAGATGGCCAATGGCACAGTGAGATTTTCTTGTGATCATAGATGTCTAGATTTTTCTCAAAGCCATATAGCTTTGGGGGTGGGGGGGGCGGGAATCAAAGTTCTAACTACTGTATTTCTTTTTTTCAACTGGTGCACCTCAGATATTTCTTCAAGCTCAGAAAGGCTTGAAGAATCTGGTGCACCTCAGATATTTCTTCAAGCTCAGAAAGGCAAAACCAATACCTGGGTGTGCCAACACTATCATTCCCCTCCCCCATCACAGCAACCCATCCCATAACCTGGCCCCATCTATATTACCCATGACCTGAATAGAGGTGGCTAGTGTCATTAGGGAATACCATGGAACAGAAGCACTGTTGCTTGGCAACAATCTCCTCAGCTAGCTTCCCATAAGCTGGGATAGAAATTTCTTCCCCTTATCCAAGTTACCTCTGTGATATATACCAGCTTTAAGGATCCTCACATGAGCACTCATGATGCAAGAAGTTGGTAGGCAGCCTGAGCCACTCCTTTATTCACTAAAACTTTGCTACAAGAGCAAAATTACTAAGGAACAAGAATAATTGGATCAATTTACGAAATCTATCTGGATAATTCAGACAAGAAAAAAACTGTTACTCAAGAACAATTTTACTCATTTTATCCAAATAATTTTGGACAGCCCCTTCCCCCAAGTGATAACTCTTGGGTCAGAAAAGAATTTAAAACAAAAACAAACACCACCACATAGAACTGCTTCTTGAGCAGATGGTGTCATCTAGCCTAAACCATATATTGTATCAATGCAGAGGTAGACCTAGGAACTCTTACTATAATCCAGGTCTCCTCCCTCAGTCTCTGCCCTTTGCACTATACACAGTCACATGCTCTTCACTGGAAGAGCATCACAGCCCACCAAACAACCCTGGGTTTGTTCAATCCAATGCGTCACACCTGGTGGCAGGTAGGTTGGGAGGTAGGCTCCAAGGGGTTTTCCCTGTG